TTTATAAAATAGTTAAAACAAATACTTTAATACATTACTATCTACCACGCTCAAGTAACTTTTGCGCTTTTAAATCTTTGACAGACATATTTAATTTTTACCAAGATGGCCGCAGCATGAAGTGAAAATAAATGCATATATAATTTTAGTCGTAAGTTCAATGTTTTCTATATAAACACTGTTATTATAGCCTCAGTGCTCGATAGCTTAACAGCTATGTTTCTCTTTGTGAAATTGTTTTTCATTTTCTTTTAATGTAAGTACCTTTTTATACCTGCTAACTTTTATTTCTTTAATTTTTTTTATTAACACACTCATAATAAAGCATTTTATTACTCGTTTAAGGCTTTTGACTTTTTTTATTTAAATATATTTTTTTATTGAAAACAGCAATGGTTAGTAATATTACTAAAGTGTTCCTTAATATTATCTAGAATTTCTAAAATAAAAGCATCCGCATTACTTTCAATCGGTGATATAATACCTATCTAAAATTTCAAATATTTTTTATAAAACACGCGATGTAATTTAGAAATATAAAACCAATTAAGCGCGCTGCCACTTTCACTAGAAACTTTCTTTAGATAAAAAAATAAATAAATAAAAAAAGTCGACACATAGGTTTTATAACTTTTTAAATCCGACTTTACTCGAAAGAGTTTAAATTGCAATTGACTGAAAAGAGAGCAAAATCTTTACAACTTAAAAAAGAACATGCAATTTTAAGACTGAAAATATTTAGCTGAAAATGCAAAATATGGTAAAAATATATATGTACACCAAAAAATCTTGTTTTAACAAACATGACAATGGAGATACCAAATATTTAAGAGATACAATATATTTTACGCGTCAACCGACATTGACCTTATATTTTAAATGTTAAAAAGCGAAGCAACTAAACGTTCATCCACACATCCTGGTCATTAAAAAAAAAAAACAAATTAGGAATTTTATATTAACATATTTTCCTAATATCTTAATTAGGTCGCGTCGTAAATAACTTGTTTTTGTAAATCATCCTCCTAAATGTTAATACTATGCACGGTTTACGAAAACCCGTCTTTTGCGACTCATTACTACAAGTCCGCAATAACAACAAAATTCGATTCAAATGTCAATATATAGAGTAAGACGTTACAGATACATAATATATTATGACCGAATTGAAGCTAAAAGTAGTTTAAAATGCGTAATGGTATATAACCACCAATAGTATATTACAAATCACTTTAATAAACGAATGACCTACACGTAAGTTCTCATTGTATGTGCAATTTCGCTTTCTTTTATTGTTGCAATGAAAGTGTCACTTTGACGCATACTAATCACAGTACCTATACAGACTAAAGTGTCAACAACTCCGAGGAATCGTTCTGAATTTACGTAATGTACTTTTCAGAGCCCATTAATTATAATGTAAATTAGCATATTACCTTATAATAGTTAATGAACCACAAAGTTATTGTCTACGTATTTTTGTAGTACCTTTTATTTTCAATTATTTGTAACAGATTCTTCAGTATTTCACAATATGGAACTGAATGGTATTTTTTCGGGTAGCGTCTCTCTTACCCGCTTCTATATAGTAATAAATAATTCGATTAATAAATAATAACCTATATATTATAACTTATTATGTATTTAAACCAGTTTTATCATGAGTAGCATAATGTAATGAAAATAAAGTTTTTCAAAAGCCGCATTAAGCACGCCCCGCACGTATTGCACTGTTGCTAAACGTACAATTGTTTAAAGTGTGGCAACCCAGGACAGCGAATGGAACTACAGCTTATATTTTAACATTCAAACGAATTGCCGTTATTTGTTGTGTAGCTGTTTACACAATGAAAGAATTTTGTAACAATGATTTTACATAATAATATCATCTGAATTCAAATAGTTTTAAGTATTATTCAGATATCAACTGAAATAGATTTAAGATTCGAGTAAATTAATCTAACTCTGATAAGAAGCAGGTATTAGTTCGCGCTTATGAAACTCTCTTGAAACAAGTTTTAGAAACGACTTAGTTAAAAGCTACTTTAAATATACAAGTATAATTTATATAGTTAACGATTAAAGGAATAAAACAGATAATCAGATAAAGTATTAACAGAAGACCTTTATTTAAAAATTACAAAACATATCCATATAAAAACTGTATTTATACACAAAAAAGTTTCCATTTTCTTTATTGTCTCTTAATTTTCAAAATAAAATATGTACCAGATATTTTTCTTAACGTTTTGTTATCATATTCTAGAAAATTCCCTTTAGAATCATTATTCAACAAAATAATGTTCTTATATTTGTTCCGTTGTCAAATCGTTTTTATAAGTGACAATAAAATACAGGGCTATTTAATATGTAGAGCGTGTGGAGTTCCGCAGCACCTTGGAAGCGGTTTCCTACTTCCCTTGTATTGATTACAATATTGATAGACATTACTGAAATATTGACAAGGTGGATTGAACTAATTATTGACTAAGTTATTGGATTGACAAATCTTATTTTGATTATTATATAAGGAATGAAATAGTTACAGTAATATGTCGAAATAGATATCATGACTAGAATCTTCTGAGTAGTGTTACAATATTATGTATTAACTCTAAAAAGGGTAAGATTGTAGTTAAAATAATGATTAACTATTTTAATTAAGACCACTTCAAATTAATCCTTTATTCAAGAATCTATTTTGTTAATTCATTCTCACTCCAATCGTTTACGTGTATATTTCTTTATTTTGAGAATAACTAATAATATAATTTTAATTACAGACATGGTTTACGAAAAACCTTCATCTTATTAAAAAAAAATACTAGACGGCGATCAAAAACCATACAAAGTTATTTTATACTTATGAGGTTACATAACTTTCATTGTAATAATATCTTCGAACTACTAAAACCTTTTTTTATATATACATTTCTAATAACTCTACAAGACAAAGTATAACAAGAGTATTATCAGTAATGACCTTATAAGTGAGTTCATGTTATGATCTTGTACGTGCCCGGTGAAAGTACGGCGTGCTTGACAATAATTACATTCCTTGTATCGTTTTTGCTACATTCATTATACATTAAAGTTTTTTTATATAAACACATGACATTACAGTTCGTTTCTTTGACTGTAATGCGATATGTATTAATCAAGTTTCCCTTATATCATATTTATTAAACTATCATTTACTTCATTATGAGAATTGTAATATTTAATATGTTTGTATATTTTATTCAAAGACATGTATGGGTTTCTTTAATTAAAAGATTAACCAAAATGTTGCATGCATATTACCACTTTCCACATCAAATCAATCTTGGTAACAATGCGAAAATCTTTAGATGTATGTAGAAACCGTTATAAAAACTTTATCATGGTACAATAGTATGTGATCAGTTCCCACGGCATTGGCTCCGTTTACTGTATGCGATCTTCATCTTCACTATTTCTTATATAGAAAGGTTTTTAATCAAATACTGCTTTGATAAAAAAAATTGAAGTTCTATTGCGATAATTGGCATCGTTTTTACATTAATATAGCATTTTCTGAATTAATATGAATTAAGATTATTATAAGCGTGTCTTTTTTCATGTAAATCGATTTTTAAATTTAATTCTTCATGGACTCTTTTCACAATAGTAAGTCGTCTCAATGTGTTCTTTAAAATCTTTAAGTAACTTGTAACTGTCACTTTGACACCAATGTCAGCGGACTAGGAACTACTTAGAGCTTTATAACATATTCCACGACTCTCTCTCTGTATGGGTGAAATGAAGACTAACAAAACGAATTCTTTGAGAGAAAGCCTTCAGAATTGTTATGACAAAGAAAACGTACTAATTACTAATTAACACAAGCTAAAGTAAAGTTTTAAAACTAATATGGTCATGATGCTCTATACTTCTATACAACTAATTATAAAGATTATATGAGTTTTATTTTAGAATATTATAAGCTGTAAAGTAAATATAGATAATAAATTAGGCATATTTCAAATTTTTATCGATTACTTCATATTGGTAACAAAATATAAACATTTCTTAAATGAAAATTAAAAAAATGTTAGTTGTTATAAGTCGTGTAGCTAAATACCTTTACACATAAAAAGCTATAATATTATACCATAATTTAAAAGATTCTTATGCTTAGTCCGAGTTGCTATCGTCACTACATACAGAGCGTTAATAGTTTTCCTTCATAAGTCTTCACCCGTTACTAGTATTAACATAGGTTATTGAATAAAAAAACGGATAAGTCACAGTTTGTACTCTGTCGAGGGCAACTTGAACTAGACATGTGGTTCATAAGCTACACACAAGTGAGATCATTAACTTAATCAGAAATATGTTATTTTCTCGGCATTTGCAATGAAATTAAAAGTGCATTAAATCAAGTGAAAGCAGGCTTATTTTAAGTAAGTCTCATGATGTAACATTACTAAATGAGTCGTAAAAGTATGCCGTTAAATCAAATTAACAATGCTCTAAAGTAATTTGTATTAAGTCACACCGTTAAATCGGTAAGTAGGCATTAAACCCCATTCATCGCCGGTCATCCGTAAGTCCCCGTTACTTGGAGAAATTAATAAATTGAAATAAAAAATCATATAAAATATTTATATTTAACTTGTCACATGCCTCAAGATTATTTATGTCTACTCCATACTAATATGAATTTACCTTCTTTTTTACTGAAACCTAAATGAATACAACCTTCTTAAAGATCAGATTAATGGATAAATGGATGTTTAAGTTTTTCGTTTATACACGTATTTCTTAAAAGATTTATTTTTGACGTGATAGTGATCGTATTCTGAAACTGAAATCACGTTGCGCAAATATGTTAAAATACACAGCAATATGTTCGTTTCGTTACTAGCTAAATTCAAGGTTCAATGTATTAACACATTAAATTCAAAAAATACTAATAAAGAAAAGAATTATATACACATTATATTAACGGTGCTAATTTAAAAAAATATCTGTTCCAGATATTATGGTATGGCTTGGCAATCCTGGTTTTACTTGAAGAAGGCGTAAATGGACATGGAAGGCTGATAGAACCGCCGTCACGGGCGTCAGCTTGGCGCTATGGCTTCGACACTCCACACAACTACAACGACCACGAGTTATATTGTGGTGGCTTCACAAGACAATGGAACAAGAATGGAGGTAAATGTGGTGTATGCGGGGATGCCTGGGACTCGCCTAAACCTCGGGCCCACGAGCTCGGCGGCAGATTTGGACAAGGCGTGATAGTGAGAAAATACGCACCAAAAGATGTAATCGTCATCAAAGTCGAACTCACAGCTAGCCACAACGGCTTCTTTGAATTCAGAGTATGCGATAAACTAAAAGATACTGATCAGGAATGTATGGACAAACACGTCCTGAACTTAGAAGGAAAGAGTGAGACCAAATACTATCCCCGTGAAGGTAACAAGATTTATGAAATGAAATATCAGCTTCCGGAGGGTCTAGAGTGTCCTCATTGCGTGCTGCAGTGGAAGTATATCGCTGGTAATAACTGGGGAACGTGTGCAAATGGTACTGGGGCCGTTGGTTGTGGACCGCAAGAAGAGTTTCGGGCGTGCGCCGATATAGCCATAGGTGACCGCTTTACTACTACCACGAGAAGACCGAGACCGACTTATGTCCCACCGAACAGGACCCCGAAGGTCCCGACTCCAGAACAATCAGAATCTTCCGGAAGCGCTTGGTTCGGAGTTGTTATCGCACTCATCACGCTGTTCATCGCGCTTGCGGTATTGGCCGGAATATACCTGTACTATTACAGAGGTGGCATGAGGATCAAGAACCTTTTGAAATCCAAAGGGGCCCCTCCAGCGCCCGTTCCACCGCCGAGACATAAAAGATCCTCTCTATCTAGAGAAAACCCACCAGAAATCTCATCTCCAAAAGGAATCTCCGAGTCCGGATTCGAAACAGTAGACTTAAGGTCAAAATAATTAAATACTTCGATATTGTAACTGACACTGCCTTTTTTAGTCTTAGGTACTTGGATGTACATTTGTGTGTGATTGTTGAAAATATTGAGACAGCGACGAAAATATATATTTTATGTATTTTAAAATAATTCTTTCACTAAAAGAAAGTGTAAGTCGGCAGCGGAAACGAAAATAATTTTGCGAAAGAAAACACTGTTGACTATTATTAGGAAAAACACGAAATATCAAGACAATGTTAAAAGAAACATTAAAATTCCTATTTTTGTGTAAGTTATGTTAAAGATTTTGATCAGAACTTATTTAGATTAGTCACCAGTGTATACATGAAAATAAAATAATAATATGTATAAAGCTGTCCATCGAAACGACCATTGTAAATTTTAATTTATAATTAAATTATTATATAAATTTACTTTTTTATTTCATACCGACATAAATAATGAAACAAACATATTTCCTTATCCAATTTATAAAAATCCGATAACTATTATTAATTATGAATGAAATTCTTATGCATAAAAACAATTTTATTGGAAAACTGAAAACATAATTTCTCTACTAAAGTATTTTCCTCGCATATTGGAACTCATAAAGACTTATTTTTTTTATGATTGCTTATCATAACTTATCAATTCGTGATGTAATCTTTTACGTATTTCTGATTTTATTTGCCCGCTTTGCATGGCATTATAAAAAAAAAATCAAAATTCTCTTTGTTAACACCCACCCCGCAACCTCCTGTGACATTGGATATCGTAAAATTCGTTCATAATTTATTTTTACATTATAAAAAATTGAGGCAAAACTGTATGCTGTAGGAGCTATAGCTGGAAAATTAAAAATTGTCTATGTTAACACCAATCCTCAAATCATTATTGGGATGAGTTATTATATATTCGCTCATACATAATTTCTACATCGCTAATAAAAGACCCATACCAAAATTTCTAGGCTCTACGTCTTATTGTTCCAGAGATATCGTGACGATTCAAGACATCGGTACAAATCTGTTATATAAAGAAAAGATAATTCAAAAGCGATTTTTTTGTTGATATATTATTTGAAAAAAAAAATGTTTTATATGTAATGACTCTCCACGCAATTTCTGTCTTTATTGTTTCTTTTTTTACCATTTGATTTTAATTAAACATACACATTAAGCATACACGTGTATTGTTCATTACAATCAATAGAAGGTTTATCTTCTTAATAAAGAAAAGCAGAACTTTCTTTTCTTCTCCTACTTTTGTGCACCTAATAAAAACATTAAAATTTATCTGTATTAAATGTATTTTAAATAGAAACTTAACAGAATAACGAAAATTTAAATAAAGAAAAATATCAAGGTTTTGTTTAAATAAGCTATATATCAGTAATTCAATGAGATGTTAATAACCATTACTGAAATATATTGTTTATTACGTTAATTGAGTTCCAAAAGAGTTCTCTAAATTACCGTTTAAGACAAAAAAATTAAAACACTTCCCATGAAATTGTGATATAAGCAGTAAATTAGGTTTCAGGGTGATGAAAACTTACTTGACTATTTTATTTCTTATATAACTGTTTATTTCCTTAGGGGAGGCCTATGTCCTGCAGTGGACGTCTTTCGGCTGCTGATGATGATAATGATGATAACTAAAATATTTATAAACATCATTTTTATATAAAATATTATTGATTACATTTTATTTCAAACAGTATTAACTACTACCAATAATTAAAATGTTTATTACTCAATTTTTTCTTAAGTTCTTTTACTGGGAACACTTGTATTGAAATGTCATAGTGATAAACCCTGAGTGACAATTTGCTATCGGCAACCATAGACAATCTCAAAACAAACGTGCTGGGAAAAAAATTCTATAACGACTCGAAAGAGCGTATATTTCACGAAAAAAAGGTTTTTATAAATGAAATATGGCGGTACGGCCTCAGAACATGCATGACGGTGGTATTGTGGAGCGTAGATTACGTCCGATTTATGGTAAACTGTATTGATAACCTCTGCATATTTTATTTTTTATTGTGTGTCTTGAATACTTCCTTTGGATATTCTTACAGACTGGTTGGATAATGGAAACAATAAAAAGGCACTTCAAGAAGCGGAAAAAGTCCTTAAGAAAAGTCCTAGTCTACAAGCGGCTCGGGCGCTGAAAGCTTTAGCTTTATTTAGGTTAGGTAAAGGAGCGGAAGCCCAATCGGTTCTGGAAGCCCTAGCCCAAGAAAAGCCCTGTGATGATACCACGCTGCAAGCAATGACTATTTCCTATCGGGAATCTCAGCAATGTGAGTAATTTTTAATACAGTGCTTTAAATTAATTAAAAGTGTAAAAAGAATATTAGTTATTAATTGAGATGTGTCCAAGTTTTAACCTGCAAGTCTAAATTTAACAGAGATAGAGTATTAAAAAATACTATTGACTTTTTTTCTAAACTCATATATTTTCATGATTAGTATATACCTGTAGTAGTTTAAAAAGGGTATACAATACATTTTTCACATACCAAAAGTATTGAAAACATTAATTCGCTCACATTCTGTTATTATTTGTTCAGTTCACAAAGTTTGTGCCTTATATGAAGCTGCAGTTAAAGTGGAACCTACAAGTGAGGAGTTATATTCTCATTTGTTTATGTCTTATGTGAGAGTGGGAGACTTTAGATCCCAACAGAGGGTAGCCATGGCCTTATATAAATTTGCACCCAAAAATCCATACTACTTCTGGGCCGTCATGAGTATTGTTTTACAGGTGAGAACATTGCTTTCTATTATTAACAATGACATTAATTTTGATCCACTATACTACAAACAAATTTCAAATATAGGCGAAAACTACTGACGATCCCACAAAAAAGGGTATCCTTCTGACTCTAGCCCAAAGAATGGTTGACAATTTTATATCTGAGAACAAAATGGAAGCCGAACAAGAAGCACGCTTGTATGTCATGATACTTGAACTACAAGAAAAGTGGACTGATATCCTTAGATTTATTGAAGGGCCGTTGTACTCTCAGCTTGTACCCGGATCAACTGCGCAAGCTAGCATACCATATCTAAAGAAACTCGGTGACTGGAGACGGTTAAACTTAGTATGCAAAGAGCTACTCTTTGATAATCAAGATCGTTGGGATTATTACCTGCCTTATTTAGACTCAGTCTTCAAATTGATGGATAATACTGATTCTGACAATGACAGCTCTGTGGACGACACAGCTGAGAAATGTCACGAGTTTATTTGTCAACTAGTTGAGAGTATGTCATCTGGCAGGACACTTAGAGGGCCGTATTTAGCAAGATTAGAACTATGGAAGCGGTTATCGGTACATGGGGATCCAACTTCCCTACTCGGCAGTGGTGTAGCACTATGTATTCAATATTTAAGGGTATTTGCTAACAAACCCTGTGCTGTACCCGATCTTAAACCATATTTGGCGATCATACCACAGAAAGAGAGGGAAGAACATTGCAGAGACTTTTTGACGTGTCTAGGCTTTGATGAGAACAGTGAACCTGAGTCAGTAAGTACACATAATAGATATTTTGTTTATTATATAAATTCCTTCAAATCATGATTCATAAATGCAAGTACAGAACAATCTCACACATTCATTGCATTGTGTCCATTTATATTCTCAATTGAATGTAATGTTATTTAAAGAGTAACTAAACATAAATAATACTTAAACTAGTGTTTAATTCTGGTGCAATTCTATTCTGGATTAATTAGAGTAGAAGAACAAATGAAATGATAATTATATTTTAGAAAGATACTTTTGAAATCTTACTCTAGAAAAATATATCTACCTAAGCATTTCTTATTCATTAGATCTTTGCATACTCAAAAATTTCTTTTGTTTAATTTTAAAATTTTAACTATTAATATATAAACTCTTGTTTGTTCTAATCTTATTATATAAATTTATTAATGTTTCTTAAAATCTCCAGCCAGATGATATACAACGTCACATATCCTGTCTCTGCGCGTGGCAATTGACGTCCCCGGTACGCACCGGCGAAGAATATCTCATGATAGCTTCGTTACTACGCTACCAGTACTTGAGATGTGTGAACAAAAAACTTATAACCGCTACATTGACTGAATTCTGTGCTGCCGATGGCTATGGAACATTGGCTGCACATTTCTATTTCTATGCTGGTATGTTAAATATATTTATTCTATAATTTTCTTGTATGCAGTTTTTATATATTACACTTCTGTTTCAGCCGTCCAGCAACAGAGTGCGACTCCCATATTAGAAGCCCTCAGTTTATTGGAACTGGTCTTACATAACTCTCCATCCAATTTCCATGCTAAATTACTTCTAATCACCCTGTATCACGTTTTAGGTAATACTATATTATTATAATAATTAAATTAACATACATTGATCCAACAAAACTCAATTCATATTTGATTTTCAAGAATATATTTATTAAAAATATTCATAAATAAGTTAACATTAATCTAATAATGCAATCTTTTTCTTTTAGTTGATCTAAGACCTAAGTGCTCTAATTCTCATAAAATTAATAATCAAATAAATTCTTTTAATTACCCACCGATAGCAGAAATTTTACAACATATTGAGCATACAAATTCCATATAGACAATGGAAGTGTATACTATTTTCATTTTTTTTATACATATGATTCTGATTAGGAGTATATTAATGTATGTTTGTAGGTAACGGCCCGGCGGCTGATTCTGTATACCGTCGCCTAGAAGCCAAGCACGTCCAGCTGTTGTCGCTGGGCTGGATCCACGCTGCACGCCTCGCCCCCGGCCTCGCACACACCAGGGCTCTCCGTCTGTTGGCTGACACTCACGCATTCCATAAACACCATGGAAAAGACGTGAGTTATCTATTATATCTTACAAACAGTTTAATATGAAACGCATGCTCTTTGACAATATTAATCCGACTCAGTCTATGGTAGAAGTTATAATAATATTATTTTTTTGTAACTGGCCAGATGATTTAATTTTTTTTTTCTATATTCCAGTGCATGGAACACTTGACGTACGCGTATAAGTATGGAACGTTCGAGAAGTTGCTAGAGTTACGTGAGTGGGGCGCTCGTCTGGAGGCCTGTGCGTGGTGTTCCCTCGCCGGGCGCGAGAGGGCGCTGCTGCCTCTACTGGCTGGACCCACCGCGCCCATGCATGCACCGCATCCCCTACCAGATCCACTCACGTATGTACATGCATATATAATATACTGTGCCCTGTCGCTGACATATCCGGGGTACACCGACATAGCGGCCGATGGCTTTCGCAGTGGTTTTAGTGAGTAGGGGCCTGCCCAGGCCTAGTCTCACACATCCCTTCCGGCCCCACCAAGGCCGGTTGGACGGCTCGTAAAAAGAGTTTCCCTGCGTCATCAAAAAAAAAAATATACAATATACTAGCATATGCTTAGCGATAGCGAGATATACATATGGCAATATTAATACAAATGTATGTATTTGTTTTTTAAAATCGTACGTAGAAATTTAATAACCTTAAAGGCTATTCATGTTTATATAACACGCATAGTTATATACTTAGCAACAGCGATGTGAAGTTAATTTTATAAATATATTTATTGGAAATTATTAATAATAATCTTTTAATTAGTTTAAGTGTTATTTATGTAAACATTGTTTGTATTTTTATAAGTTGTATGCGAAAACATAGCTTTTTCAATTGGAATGTTGCAATAATAAAAACTTGCTCTTTTTGTTACCCACATCAACTGTCTTTCTCACTAGATTAGTTCTGACACTTTTTCTAAATAAAATTGAAAAAGCGGGCCTATAACAAATTTTTCCAAAAGAGTTCTTCGTTCTGTTATTAAATATACCATTTCGAGAAACTTTTTGTACAATTTGCGCTTATGCTATACAAAACCATTTTATTTGTACCAAATAAATAATTGTTTACTAATTGTCGTAGTTGGCGATTATATAATGTTACATTGATTATATATTTTCTCAACTACTCTTTATATAAATTTATTATTATTATGTATGAAAAATAAAATTCATATAAATTATAATCTTACAGCGACAATCGAGATCTCAACGCCATAGTCAGCTGGGAACAGCCGCAGTACATTGACCCCGGAATGAAAGAGAGGAGCTTCGAACACGACGTCGCTTACTTGAGACTCAAAGACGGGATAGTGTCTTGTATAGGTAATATTAAAATGAAAAATTAATAACGAACTATCTAGAATTAAATTTATTATGAAAATATACAGGGTGACTGGTGAATTACTATCGATACTTGAGGACGTGATATTTGACGATCATATATGACAAAATAAAAATTAATATAACAGAAATATTAATAAACTTTTAAGTAAAGTTAACCAAAAGTTATGTAATTAATTACGCATCGTGTGAACACCCTACAGATGAGGTATACACACACAGTCACACATACGCGTACGGCGGCGTGGCGTTGTATCAGCACGCCGCCGCACGCGTCCACACTTGGAACGTGTCAACACTTTATTTATTTATACGGAAATTTTGTCAAAAATTAAGTGCCTATTTTTTTTACATAATTCGAATGAGAATCATGTACCGAGTATTCTCCTTAAATATTGATAGTAATTCACCAGTCACCCTGTATATCGAGTTTTAAATATTCCATAGCAATTTTATTAAATAGTTAATAGTTTTCTATTTCGGAATATATATAAATTTATTTTAATACTTATATATAATTCGTCAACAGCGCTGTGTATCGAGTGTGCTGACAATAGAAGTCTTGAAGAAAAGAAAGTTCAACTCGATGAAATGCAAACCTGTATAGAGGCATTCAGTAGCGCTATGGAGAAATGTAAAGAGAAGTACAGCGGGAAACAGAGACTGTGTTTGACTACACCCTTCCCATCGAGAATTATAGGTGAACTATCAACATACATTTCATATATGTATATAAATAAATAGTAATACTAGAAGACCCGGCGAACTTCGTATCGCCCTATAATCAAGAAATATCTGTTACGTTTTTTTTATTTATATTTTTGGAGTTTACCTATTAAAGCCATAAATCTCCGTGTTTTGAAGTGCGACAGAATGATTGACATATTAGTTAGTTGTCAAATCTAATGTCAAAAAAAAGCGTTTGTATAAACAACTACTAATAAATTAAAAAAACCTTGCCCAGCGGACAAAATTGTGAATCTAAACCATTCCCAGATCCCCTTGAAGACACACAAAAAATTTCATATAAATCTGTCCAGTCGTTTGAGAGAAGTTCAGTGACATACACAGTCACAGAAGAATTATATATAAAGATGTATCTGTGTAACAGAATTTCTGGAAATTTGATTTAAATTACATACCATCGAAAGAAGTTTTCTTTATAAATTTTCTATATGTATATGTTTTGTTTGTTTTCCAGCGTTCGTGAACTCACCAGTACCTTACCGGGAGTTGTATGTGTTGATGGTGAGTGTGGTCCGTGCGGTGTGTGCGGGTGACGGGCCCGCGAGTCGTGATAGAGGCGCTTCCCTCCGTCCATTGCTGGCTGATTCAAGGGAACACCTCGCGGCCGCCGTGCACACCGATCTGTGGGCCCAGAGAGAGACCTTGGAGTTCTTCTCTAACTATCTGGAGGTAAATATAGATGAATATAGTACTTTATAATATCAGAATAAGTAATAGTCAGACGATTGCTCATAATTAGCTGCTAATAATGGTATCATCAATCCAACTGCCTGGAGGTAAATACCGACGATTATAGTACTTTATAATACCAGAATAAGTAACAGTCTAAGAATATTTGCTTATAATTAGCTACTACATATAATATATTCAAACATCAATGTTCAATACTTTATGAAATGAAGATACATAATGTTCTTTTCTGATTACTGTTTAAGTGAATGTTTATATATCATTATTATTTTTATCTTTGTCAATATTTTTCATGTTTAACGTCCTGACATAGTATCAAACTGTTAAACTGACCTTTCTATTGCTTTCACGTTGTTATTTATCATTACTTCACATTCATAAAATTTTCGGTCAATTATGATATAGAAATGAACATTTATTTTATCTTAGTATCTAAAATTAGCCGAAATAATTAATCTATAAAATATTTAACTTGTACTATTAAACATAAAACTGTATTTATAACATAACGTGGTATATTTACCATAATATATTATTTTTTAGTTCATCGGTGTGATAACCTTCCTCCTTGGCGTCTGTCACGAGGTGACGGCTCAGAACAACACAAAGAAATCAAAGAGAAAAACAAATCAGTCGCCGGATCAGATACTAACGACCCAGATGTTGAGCGTCCTCAACGATGACGTTCAAGAGATAGTCGCCTTCCTTGAAGAAATATTCGAGAACTGGCCCAACTTCGACTACAACAATTCACTAGAAGAACAGATGACCGAACTAGATATAAACAATAAATACCAATGTCCCGTCAAACAGAAGTTAAAGGAAGGCATACAAGAAATAGTTACAGAAGTTAAAACAATGCTGAAGAAGAAATCTAAATATTTAAAATCCCTACAATAATATCCCTATGGTGCAACATGATTGTTTTCAACATATCTTGTAAATAGCCGTTTCGCTACGCTGTTTCCATTACATTATAGTGATAACGGAAACCAACAAGTACATACGCTTTACATATGAAATGTTATGTTTGTTCTGTCGTTTAATAATAGATGCAGTTTTGAGTTTTTGATTTAAATGAAACTTATTTATGTACATTTATAAATAGTGTTTATTAAACTATAAGTACTTATACAACTTAAATAAATACGAAACGTTTATAATTTATTGAGTCGTTTCATTTGTTTAGATTGGGTATACCTTGTTATATAAAAATACTAGCTGACTCAGCAAACGTTGTTTTGCCATTGAAACAAATAAGGGTTGGTGATAAAAAAGTAAAAATATTGGGTTGTATGTATATTTTTAATGATTCATTATAAAAAAATTAAAAAAATCGTCCAAAAATAATTTAACAAAAAATTTAAGGTGGACAACCCTTATGACTTAGAGGTATGAAAAATAGATGTTGGCCGATTCTCAGATCTAGTCAATATATGTATCACAAAATTACATCATAATCGCTCAAGCGGTCTCGGAGGAGTTCTCTATTTAACACCGCGTCAAGAGAATTTTATATATAAGATTAGCTTCAGCCGCGACTCCGTCCGCGTGGAATAGTGACTTCCGGTAGATTTTTGGTTCTTCCCACATAGTTCGAATCGAATGGTCGAGTTCCCGTAGAATTTTCAGGATAAATCCTATGTTTTTTTATTCACAATGAAGTACTCTTACCCAACAACATATTTATTTGTTTATTTGAATAAAGATTAATATTATTATGTTGATACAACTTTAACAAATTATTTCGACCAAATTACGTACCATAAAAACGGTTTTTGTGAGTTAATCTTAAAAAATAGACATATACTGTCGCGGACTGTTTTTTAGATCATTAAAAGAGCTATTATTCTTTAATACATATTTTTGTGTATCTTGAACCGTTTTCACGGCGCACGCAACAGAAGGCTTCAAAGATGAAATAATTTCTCCCGTTTTTTACACATTTACCACTATATCTTTGCTCCTATTGGTCGTAGCGTGATGTTATATAGCCCACAGCCTTCCTCGATAATTGGAATATCCAACAAAAAAAGAATTATTCAATTCGAACCAGTAGTTTCGGAGACTAGCGCTTTCAAACAAACAAACTCTTCAGCTTTATAATATTAGTATAGATAAAATTTTACCTATTCAAGGAAAGGATTTTTTATATAAAAAAAACAATAGTATTTCCACTTGGCATTTTATTTATTTACAACACGAATATTGCGTTACATTTGAAATCAGAGAAGTACAAAAATACTGTTAAGATCTATTCTGATTTAGGTACATAAGAAGAAAAAAAACAGTCTGAAAATACGGAATGTGGTGCTTATGGAATAACATCTGTGTGATCTCATGATTTGGTCGCTTACATTTATTAAGTCGTCGCGTAGACAGAAATCATACGTTATTTAAATTATTAAAAAATAAAACAACTAGTATTCCATCATATACAAATTTTAGAAGTTTTAAATTTAAGATAAATATTTACTAATACAAAAGAAAACAATTCTTGGTGATACATGGTGTTCAATCAAATATGGACATAATGTTCAGATACCTATATTTCTTATATATGTTGAAAAAGGTTTTAAAAAATTCTATTTCCATATAAATTTTACGTATTACATCAGGAAAAATATAAATAGGCAATTGAGTTTATCAGAACACCGTGTATCACCAACTAATATAAAACTAGTCTAGCAAATACGTAACATTAAATAAAAACCTAATCAAAAACACACAACACTCCAAACAACACGACATTTTTAAAAATAAATTTACTAAATAAGCATTTTTATACATAACATTATATATCTATATATTGCAACAAGAGAAAAAAAATCAATTATTACTATTGCAAGTACAAGAACAGTATACGAAATAAAGTGACCGCTATTTATTTCAAAGAAAGTGTGCATCTATTCCCATATGTCTCACTAAATTATAATCGAAAAAAAAATCAATAATATTATAATAAAAACATTATGCACCATTATACGCGATGCGTTTATATTTAACAGCTAAATCATAGCCTACATTCGAAATAAGTGCTCTTAAAGCTAGAAACAGTGTGTATACAGGTGTTTTATATATCTGTAAATGTGAACACATTTTTGTGTATATATTAATTAATTGGGAGGATAAAAAAAAAAGTTAATACAAAACGTAAAATTACATAATATATTAAACAATTATATTGAATTTCAACAGCTTCATGAACAATTATAAATATCTGAAGACATAATATACATCGTTGACTTCGAAACATGTTTCATACAGGGGAATGTTAGTTATACCTAAATTATTATTTACCGATTTTATCTTTGAAATAAATTCATTAATTAAATAACAATAGGTATATATTATTGCTTGTTTTGTGCCGCTACTTGTATAGTGCAGTGTATTGACTTATTGGGCAGTCGCTGATAAATAATTACAGGTGTATCAATGAAATATTTGGTCCCACCCAATAATTATACAACCGGAATGTATTTGTAACCTTAATGATTATATAATATAAACTGTCCTCTACAGTATCCTAACATAAAAAATCCAAATTACTGTGTGTCACAAAAATATATTAGCTATTAATTCATCAACAGAAGGCCAATGTCTTGTATCTAGCTACAATATATTTATGAGAAATCTGAATATAAAAATTTATAACAATATAAAAAACTGTATGAATCAATCACTATACTAATTGTACTATCTGAATACAAAATGTTCTCAACCGTTACAATACATACTTCACAATACAGAGATATGTTACTCGTCTTATCACAATAATTTATTAAAAGAAAAAAAAAAACATTATTTACATAAAAAATATTTTAAATGTATTTTTTATCAACTGATATCATAGTTCTAAAATACTGTTAGATGTTTGTGTACCAAACATAAATATTAAGCACATCTTATTCTATCAGGGCGACTTTTATTTAACAATATAATTAAGGAAATTAAAAGCAGAAAAAAAAGACTGGAATTCGAGTAAGTAGTCAAAGTACATCTAGAGTATAAAAAAAATAAATAATCAAATACTCGCATAGTATTTTAAAAACAAGTACATATAGTCACTCTACATGTATTTATTGCAATTGGAATATATTTTATGTCCGTCAATCATATTGAATGCATGTACGTACTATTCGGCACATCTCCTAACATAATATAGGCAGTTATAATTTATACTCAATATTGCGATTGGTAACTACACAATTGAACCAACGTAATCACCGAAGACAACATCTAATACAAACATGCTTTAACAATATTTATTGTCTCTCTCTATATTTGCTCTCAGTTACTATCACACTACACTCTTAATACACAGGCTTAAGGCTTTATATCAATAAAACGCCAGCGATCGTATATGAGCCATCAATATATACAATATTAAAAATATTACACAGATATTATGATGTAATTTTCTTAGCTCACACCGTCAAGTTACTACACTATTTTTGACAGCAAACCAGCCTTTCGTTGTCGTATATAACATTTATGTATCAAAAGTCATTTAATACTATATTTCTCTATCTAAATGTTCGTTCGTTTAACAGCCATTGTAATGGCAGTGTTCGTATCACTTCACTATTAAAATGTTCGTAACTGTTCTTCATAATATCTTATTATATATTTTTGTCAGTCTGTGCACTCGCGTTTATAGAGTATGGAAGATGTCCCTAGCGTTATCCTTTGAATAACGCTTGTAGGAACACTCGCTGAATCAGCTGCCACTGAAATTAAATACCATAGTTTAATATATTTTATAGTATTAGAAAACATTTATGACTTGTGTAATCATAATTATGTGTACTTTATATCGTTTTTGTTGAAAAAATATTCCATGCACTCAAATATTAAGACGAAAAGTTATATTATTTGGGTAGCTGATGTCATATAATGTTATGTTCTAGACTTTTATAGTTCAATAAAAAATTAGTAATAGTGTTTTAAAGGAGTGTTATTTATTGTTAATGTATCTAAGCGCACGGTAGTGCGCCGGCCAAGTTCCACAGGCCGGCGCATGCCGTGCACTATATTTACACGAACCGTTTCGACCCACTTTTGACCCCCCTGTAGCTCAGTGCCTATTGCAAGTACAGAGATAAAATTTTACCTACGTAATCATATACTAGTACTAAAGCAGTATGCCAAATTTCATAGATAAAGCTTCAGTAGATCCTGAAATATGACCCTGTGAAAATAGCTAATTTTGGCACTGACTCACTGACAGGTAATCAAAACCTCTAGGGCACTTCCCATTGTTTTAGCATTATGAAATTTGGTACACAGGTTGTGTGTTATATGTAGATTAACAAAAAATTAAGAAATTTAAGAAATCGGTCAAGCGTGAGTTGCCTCAATTCTAAATATCGAATTTTTAATAAATTCGACCCACTTTTGACCCCCTGTAGCTCGATGTCTATTGCAAGTACAGAGATAAAATTGTACCTACGTAATCATATACTAGTCCTAAAGCAGTATGCCAAATTTCATAGATAAAGCTTCAATAGATCCTGAAATATGAGCCTGTGAAAATAGCTAATTTTGGCACTGACTCACTGACAGGTAAACAAAAGCTTTATATAGGCGCTCAGCTCAGCACAATAAAATACATAATAATGAAATATTAATAATTAATAATATGAGTACATCTATCAATCGGTGATAAATGAAACTAAAAAATAAAAAATAAATATAGTTTAAAAAAAAACTAAAAAACACGCTCCAATGATGAAAGAAACCGCGTGGAAAGTAATTTAACCTTTACAACCTTGGAAATCAATTTAATTTAAATTGTTTAAAATAAACGATAAATGGTATTATTGAAAAAAAAAGCGTGGGGCGCTTCTCAAGAAGTGATATATGAAGTTCATCACGCTTTTTTTTCACAAAAATACCATTTATTGTTTGTTAATTTATTTTTAAATTAATATTATTGTGAAAAAAGTGTGGGGGGCTTCTTAAGAACTGATATATATATATATATAAGGGATATAAAATATTGTCATGTATACATAATGCACACTGTATAACTTAATTAAATATTGCTTACCTAAAAAATCAGGTTTCTATTGTTATAAATTACTTTCGATAGATGGCGCTAGCGGTATAATTGAATCGCGATATTGTTTTGTCTGCAGTATATATGAATGAAAGTCGATAAGGAATCGATGGTCATTTCTTTCTACACTTATGTCTTGATATCTTATATATGGTTACGATTACGATTAAATGAATCACTGATTTGACTTGCTAAAGGATTAATTTTGATATTGCTTATTGATTGATTACTTGTGTGTGTTAAAAGCACAAATTCACTCTATTTCTTTTCTACTATTCATTTACCAACGATGGAAATTGTATATCTTTCGGTGGTTGGCGGAGATATACCACATAGGGTAATTCCTATGCCATCAGGTGGTAGCTGTATGTTTCATGCTGTAAGTTATGCATTGTACGGCTGTATAGTACGATTGTATGTACGATTTCTTGAAAAAAAGTATTGAAATCTCACCAAAAACATGCCTGTTAAAAAGGGGGCCAAGTTCCAATCTTCTAATTGTTTGCCTAAAAAAGGAGTGAAATCCAATCTAATGCCAAGTTTAGATGCACTTTGAAATCGATCATAATCATCTTCATCAACAGCATGATCCACTGGTAAACATTTGCCATTCCCAAGACTCGCCACCACACCCAGTCCTCTGCCTTCCACATCCAGCCACTACCCGCCACCTTATTCACGTCAACGGTCCATCTGGCCGAAATTCACTTTACCATACACCCAACTTAAAATATGGTATAGTTGTGAAAATACGTAGGTGCTTGGTTAAAAATATCTAAAATTATAATACTTCTCAATTTGAACTTGGCAGGTTTTTGTGCTCTACGTAACACTTAATTAATTGTATCATTAATTTATTATTTAGTTATATGATTATTTATATTTATATAATTTAAATATTATATAATTTAAATAATTAAATTAACCTGCCAAGTTCAAATTTAGAAGTATTATAATTTTAGATATTTTTAACCAAGCACCTACGTATTTTCACAACTATACCATATTTTAAGTTGGGTGTATGGTAAAGTGAATTTCGGCCAGATGGACCGTTGACGTGAATAAGGTGGCGGGTAGTGGCTGGATGTGGAAGGCAGAGGACTGGGTGTGGTGGCGAGTCTTGGGAATGGCATAAGTTTACCAGTGGATCATGCTGTTGATGAAGATGATTATGATCGATTTCAAAGTGCATCTAAACTTGGCATTAGATTGGATTTCACTCCTTTTTTAGGCAAACAATTAGAAGATTGGAACTTGGCCCCCTTTTTAACAGGCATGTTTTTGGTGAGATAAATATGTACATCACATATATTTTACTGATATTAACACTTTTATCCCATTCATAATTTCAACATTGTTATAAGACCAATTTTTTCTAATTCATATCATGTAACACTCATCCTCCTAAAATACATTCAAAGTGGTTTTTAAGACAGCATTAATTCTGCAAGCACTGTTAATTTCACATAGTTGCTAATCTTGTAATAAGTAAATTATTTTTATTAGAGTAAAAAAACCTGGCAAGTACCAATGTGATTTTGCCCAGTCATATGTACTTTCTAAGATTAATTATTTAGACACCACTGAGAGACGGTGAAGGAAAACATCGTGAGGAAACCTGGACTTGTAATTTCAAATTATAAGTTTGAAATCACCAAACCGTCTTGAGCAAGCGTAGTGATTACCGCTCAAATCTTCTCCATGTGAGAAGAGGGTTTTGCTCAGCAGTTGGCTCTGATGAGTAAAAATATATTAACTGACCTTCTATTGGCCATGGCTCTTCTCTTGGCTGTCTGTCGTTGATGTTCGAACTCGAAGTCTTCCTCAGTGAGTCCGAGTCTCTGCATGTGGTACATGAGGTAGTCCTCGCCTAGTATCGCGGCCGGCGGATGTCTCAGCTCCTCTAGAGTCTCGCAGAGCCCGGCCGCTCGCTTACGGACCTTAGCCGGACCTAACGCTCCCGCTAGAATCACTAGCGCCGCTTTAAATAGCACCTGGAAGGTAATATATGTATTGATATATCATACTTAGTCGCTATACTTGCTAGGAATGTAAATTATAAGTCCCAACCCTGATATATATGAATTGAAAGATTTTCATTAATGTTTTGTTTGGTCACCTTGACTCCCTCGCATAGGAAGCAATCCCAGACCCTGAGGAGGCTGTCCCAGGGCAGTGTCCTTGTGAGGGCGCAGAGGAACCACTCAGTGGCGTATAACACAGGCTCTACACGATGCTTCACCAAGTGACGATGGACAGCTGGGGCCGTGCGGCGGAGTAAAGCATGAAGGATATCACCATCGCGCTGCAACACCTGGAATTTATATGAAATATAGGATTTTTGAAGGACAATTATTGTAATATTGGAAATTCTATATAAGAGCTTCACCCATAGAATGAAAGTGCTGAGATAAGACCGTCAAAAAATTATTTAGAATAAGAAATGTAATAATAAATTTGGATCGATCTGGTAGATCCTGGTGAAGTGGAATAAAGTCGTATTCTTTGAGCTGTAATTAACGTTCAAGGGAAAAATCTTTAAAGAATTAGAGAGACGATATTAAATTGGACTAATTTTTCTTCCAACTCACCTCCAGGCCGGGATTGTAATATCCACTGAGGTATTTGTCGCTGATGCTGACGAGACACCAGAAGGCTTGGACGGCCGGCATGTGCATGAGGAGGAAAGCAGCTACCGGAGCCTGGGCTTGGAAGTAACCAACTTTTGGGTTCAGCACCGAGTAGGCTTTGAGAACACAGAAGAGCTCTTGTTGTCTGATATGAAAAAAATAATTAATAAGATTATTTGAAACCTTTTATCAGAATGTCAAAACTTACTAGCTAGTAACTTTTCATTTAATCCTCGCGACAAAATTATGGTTGAAAGGAAGTAATAAAAATATACAAAAAAATAAATTATACTAAGCAGTATGATAACTCATAAATAATTATGATCACCCAGCTATGTAATCGAGCAGTAGATAAATAAAAACCTTACAAATGTATGCACGTGATGTTTATGTATAGTCTCGTTAATAAAACGAACTCACCCGAGCCCTTCCTCCCTAATGAACATCTCGTGGTACGGGAATTGTCTGTGCAGATCCTTACGTATATCTTCCATACATTTAGGGTCCCCGGGCGCTTTCAATAACTCCTCATACTCGTCCGGATGTTTCTCCAGCAATAACTGCCCACCACAGAGATACAACCACGCCTTTGGTCGAACGGACGCCGGGATACCTGATGAAATCATTCACACATAACATGATGAGTAATAAGAAAGTTAGAGACATCTCGTCTGTTTGTGATCACGGTTGCTGAAAAGTGACCGAAAGTTGTATGTTGTTTTACTATCCGAAAAATATTAGTTTCATTTAAATTTATACTCGCGAAACCCTTATATCTCATTAATAAGAAGATTTATTGTCTCCGACTAAATATTTGTAGACGAAAGATTTAATTATACATAAATTATGCAAAATAACCAGTCCAAAGGAATTTTTATATGAAGTAATGTAACAATAGTAGTAAAAAAATTATGGATATGAATATTGGTTGGTGGCTGTGACGTAAGCATTGTATGGATACTAAAAAATATTTGAATGCATAAATTATAAACTTGTAATATCACATTATACATGTGGTGTAAAAATTGTATCTAATTGATTTGAACCGTAAAATAATAGCTAAAAATGACTGTTTATTTCCTTAGTGTCTCATAATCAAAAACAACAATCACCGCGCCGCTGCAAAACTGTGTTTATCAAACTATTCTCTCACTGTTTTGAGAATTGGTGGTCAGTTCACGTCTGAAGGCTTAGTAGTGACGTCATTAGAAAGTGGATGTGACGGGATCGAATAAAGAATTTCCCTTCGAAGTGAAATTATAATATAATATACAATTCACCTTTCCGACACCTCTCGCGGACCTTTTTGTAGTTTTTGCTCATAAACGCCTCCCAATTATTCAACATTCGTAACCACTTTTGTTCTCGTTTCAATATTGTGCTCGGTGATAAAGTCCTTTTCCTGTGAATTTTAATAAATAATTTATTTCGATATTTATATCATTAAAAGCATGTATTCAATAAAATTATTATGCATTTAATGATATAAATATCGAAGTACACATCATTGTAAATTATCTATAAGTTTGATTTAAAACATTTTGTTATTTAATTAATTATACAGTAATTACGTTTGGTGGCAGCGAAGGATGCAAGAAAAATCTGTTTTACTTATAAAATATTTAATTATAAAACTCAGTTTAACAATTATAGACTTAAATTAAACTACTAGCTAGGGAGTGGGTTTTTAAGTCAGCGGTTGACTCCAGACACAAATCCTAGGACATATACTATAATCAGAATGGTCTCGTATGATATAGGGTAGAGATACTCGTGTGGCTTTTCTACATATCCTTCTTTTGTATCATTACAAAGTGCAGGATCACTAACGCAAGTATCCACATTTTCAACTGTAGCTTCAACCGATTTTTTGAATAAGGTTGTGTCTAAATCATTAACCGTTTTCGTCTTGAATATTTTCCTTGTTCATTTGATATTCATCTTATATTCAAGTTGATATTCATCTCATTCATTCATTCTGAGAAGTTGATCTGAGGAGTTCATCTTCTTTCTCATAAAAAAAAATGGTTTTATTGTATACAGTTTGTATACAATATATAATTGAATCATTTTGTCCGGAGCTCAGATGTATATTGCACAAAATAATTACATATTATAACTCGTGGTGCCATGACTGTTAGTTTATGACAATATTATTCTTCACACTCGATAATACTTCAAAATATTTTCCACATGAACTTCATTTTCTTCTTTTTTTTTTAACGCGGTGAAAGGTTTTATACCTACCCCTCCGTCTAGGGGAGACAGAGGCGGTTATGTGCGATTCACGGGCCAGAAGAGCCCATGCTACCCACTAAAACACCAGCGGTCACTCTCCGTCGCCGCCTTGTGGATCGCCACGGGAATCGCCGAAGTATATCGCCGGATATCGGTAAGTCACGCGAGACTTCGAACCGATAGTAGGGGAAATCTTGACGCGACCGAATATTACTCGAATATCCTACCGACTGCACAAATTATGATTTCGACGGTCGGTGGATGCAATGAAATCAACATTATTTGACTTAATTTAATTAAAAGTAAGTTACAACTAGGGTGCGACTATGTTGCACGAAGGTTGAACAAATAGTGACAATAAATCTAATGAAATTCTTAAAAGAAATATTATAATCTAAAAACATAAAACAAATATAAAACCAAAAACTGTCTTCACACGGAACTGCTGAGTCAGACCCGTGTAGAATAGACGAGTTTACCCAGAAGCTAAGGCGTCCTGTGACTACACCGTATAAAGATAATTATATTTTAATTAAACGACCACTTATGACACCATCACATAACACAGTTATAAATAATGTAATATTTTAATGTATATTTAATGTCATTCCAAAGTAAGTAGTGATTCTTAAATTGCGAGTAATTAAATATGATTTAGGAAAAACTCTATTTTATTAAGTAACACTATGAGTAATTTTGGTAATTATTGATTTGTTTATTAACTCGATTGTTTTTTTCAAGTAACAATTGAAATACATACACGTGAGCAAGTATAAAGAAAAGTTTATATATTTTTTTTCTACACATATAATAATATGTATCTACGTATATAATATGCCCTAACTTATATCATTAAAAGTTAAAAATGATTCGGGCTTAAGTACCTATGTTATATGTATAAAAATATATTAGATACATCATATCTATCTAGACTTTCTAATAATAATAAAAAAAACAAACAGAAATAAGATATTTGTGGAAAAACATTATCGCAGGGGTAACCCAAAACCTTTTATTTATAGGTTGGATGAATTCAATTCAATTTATTATTCAACCTAAAAAAGCGATGAATGTAGGCTAATCACATGGATATGTTCGCATTAAATTCAGATATCGCCAATTTTATTTTTTGACTCATACTATGTTCAAAATATTTAAATTCACTTATGAGACTGATATTCCTATGAAAAATAGGCATCAACGTGCAACAGAGCTATACATCTGACCTATAAATGAAAGCTAAATTTATCGCCTTTCTAGGTTACGGAGTTATTTTCCGATTAGGTTCGCTATAGAAATTCTCAAAGGAATGAACATCCTTAAATCTCTTCATACATTTCAACATATTACAAGAGCACAGCGGAGACCACATCGACAATCTTGAACAGTTATCACGAGCCGTGTCCAATATGTAACTGTTATCATATCTTACTAATCGATTCTCATACCTGTGATTCACGTTGCAATATTCAAGGAAATTATATCGGAATTTATATTAAAATAATATTTTTAGCAATAAAATTTGTATTATAGTATGATTAATAATTTATTGAAAGGGGAAATACAAAAACAGTTGAATAAATACGATTACTCTAGTGAGTAATGAATGGTAAAACATTTGACGAGAATTTTAATGGTTCGACTTTACTAAATGTACATATATAATATATAAAAAAAATATATAATTCTAATTCATCGAATCAATTAAAATTTAGTAGTAAAGCCTATTCAGAATGTAATAAATAATAAGAAAATTATTATTACGCGTTAATTAAATCAGATTATATAATTAATTTGCCGAGAATTGAGTGAAAAAAAGCGGCAATTTAATAAAGACAAATGTGTATGTAAAGGTAAAATGATCAACTCAATAATTAGTAAAACTGCACATGAAATTTCATACAACGACATAAATTCTTGAAACTATAATTTTTATGTAATTTATTAATTGGATGTATGAGAGCTTTAAATATTACTCATAGCCATTGAATTCTCACGGTGGAAAAAGTCATTACATCGGTTAATAACTCGCGCTGTTGCCAAGATAATATTTTTTGCTTAATTAAGAAATCCCGTATATTTCACAAACAGAATGTGTTGGACCGAAATTTTGTTTTAATCAAATGATGCTAATATGAGTATGATACATCAAATTTGTTTGAATTTGAACCTCGTATAAAGTGTAAAGATTCTTTAACAATAAATAGGAAAAAGTTCAATTACAATCAATATTTTAAATGTTTTTTTGATATTTTATGGTTCAATTGCTTATATCTATGAATTACAATGAAGAAAAGAATAGTACCAAGCGCTTGGTTTTATTACCCAGTAAAATATGTATAAAGAAAAATAATTTTATCCTTTTATAAGTGACATATTACAATTACATAACTACTTTTGTATGAACTCATATCTAATTTCTCTTATCTAATTATGTAAAACATTGTCATTATAATCTTGTTGTATCTAAATAACAACACACACACAATAAGAATTGCAAACAAAGCTTTCACTCATTTGATATGAGAAAAACAAGCTGACTGGCAAACAACAATCATGAATAAAAGGTATACTAAAATGTTCACTATGTGCTATAGAACATTTTACTATAATATATGGTCATTTAAGTTTCTATCCAAAATATATTTAGTTATATTCAATAATCCAAACATACATGTTTTTGTGTTAAAAAGTAAGAAAAACACATTCGCAAACGCATGAAATATTTGAACAAGGTCAATGAAATAAGTACATTTTAATTTCATAAAATGTTCAATAGTTGCAAAAAGGGGAAGTTGTGAAATATAGCCTTGTTTATCGTTCCTTCAATATTGTGGGATTTTTTATTGGTTAAATGTATAAATTTCCCTAATTATATTTTAATTGCTGTTGGATTCAATTTTATGCTATTTCATATAGAGAATACAAGAAAATAAAACTTCACAAGTTGCAAAAGTTCACAATAGCATGTTATTTGCTTTGTCATAAAAACTCTTAAACTACAGCATTTATTATCCAAGTAGTTATTGCTTGACGTGCTTATAATTAACATCACACATATTTTAGTATGCTACAAACACATAAAAGAAATGTGTGTGTATGTGTGTGTGAGTCATGTCCATGTTTTGACTTTGACTCTAACAAGCATTTTGTTAGGTTAGGTGTGCAGTTGTGATTATAGGACACACTTTTTGTATCATATAACTCTAAAGTGATTAGAACATTTTTAATATGTAATAGGCAACTTCTGTTCAGTTTATTACGTGGAAAAAGCAACAAATTAATATTTAGGTATTCAGAGCACTACTGTGAGGATTCTTATTGCATTAATAGGTAAGCACAGATATGCTCGCTACACTTTTTAGTACAATTAGCACTAAATATCAAAGTGCTGAATTTTAACATGTCTATGTGTACCACAAATTCATAAAAAATAGAAAATTTTAAAATAAATATATGTCCTCAATGGAAAATTATGAAAATTCATGGAGCGGCAAGGATTTAAAAATCATAAACGGCTAACAGCATCAAAGACAATTACATTAGAGTGATCATGAACTAAATTGGACAACATTGATTAAAGTAACATCTGCTCTTTTAAATGTCATATCATTTTACATTTTTCATTTTAACAAAATATAATTCATATTGTAATCTGTAATTATTCATTTACTTTATGCCTACTATATATACATTATATATACTTATAATCACATATCAAAAAACAGTGAGTAACACATTCCTGAAGCCCTAGGAATTATTGATAACAAGCAATGATGTTCAACAATGACATCATAGTTTTAAAGCTAAATTGAAATAGAAAAATATGTTAAATAACATATTTACATTAATAAGGTAAACAAAAACATAATAATTGTATTAAAACTCAGCAAACTACTAAGGTTGGATATATTCATTTAAAAGATTTACTTACAATGATTGTAAGTATAAATTTTGAATAAAAATATGGCCTTTTTGTAAACAGTACAGAAATTTATGAACTTAAAATCTTCTAGCAAGTTACAGTTGTTATCACGAATGATTGAATAACAGTTGTTATATAACATAAATAAAAATAAAATTACTTAATTTGTCCACAACCAAAACTAGGCCAACTACATCAATTAGTTTCTATCTAAGGCCAGTCCACATACTGTTAGTGTGGTAGAACTCAATGTAGGTGTGAGTAACCTTCAAATTGCCAGTAATTAGATATGGTATGAAACTGTGTAATTGCTCACATTCTAATTATTTCGGAGAATGTTTTCTCACTGCCAGAATGAACTCTTTTTTTTTGAGAATTCTGATAACGCAAGCATTATTTGAATAATTATGTGAAAGTGAGGAAAGTTTAAAAGATATACTTTCAAATTAAAATATCAGTTGTGCTATTTAAATAAAACAGTTTTGTGCAATACTCTTCTGGTTTCACTTATAATGTAAAAATAAATTGTTTTTAATGCTCAATTACACAAAGTATGTTTTTATTTGAGTCATAATTTGATAATGATTTCGCAATGCAGTAGAATAAATTTGTTGTTTTTGTGACAAAAGATAATAAAAGTATAAAGGATGTAGGTTAGTTTATACAATAAAATGAGTTAATTACTACTCCAATATATAAAATGTATATTTAGGTACTTACTAAGATTTTTCTAAGATTCCAAATTTACAATAGATACTTCTTTTTGATAAGAGGTGTAAAAAAAAGTAAAAGAGGAAATGTATCTATAGCATCTACTAATTGCTACGTAAATATTTATAAATATTAAGCATAGTAACAATGTTTATATTTGGTATTTGATATGAAAGGTTTGTTTCAAATAAAAAATACAACTTACGGTTCTGGACTATATTGGGCTCCGCCAAAAAAGCCATGTCTATCCGGTTGCGTAGTCACTGATGAACATATCGATGTATTATCCTGGTCACCTCCGACACTTTTAACACTTTTTTGTAGGGACATGTTCGTATCTGAACCGATCTATCAATTATTTGGTATCAAACATCACAACAAACACTACATCAATGAAGGAAGGAGTGGGCGTGCGAAAAACATACAACTCTTCCGGATGTTAACGCCCGTACAAAAATATTAACAACCACGAAACTATTCGCCACAGCTATGCGTTAAATAAAACAACAAGTTAAATTCCACAATGCATACGTAGACAAAACAAATATGGTAAGAAAACGTGCTATTATGCTGTAAAATAAATAGGCATTATTTATCACTTCTACATCAAAACTAAAACATCGTTTCCGATTAGAGACACAGACTGCAAATAAAATGTTCTAGTTCTCGAACACTATATTGCGGTTTAACGAAATTATTAAATAATACAGTTAACTTTGTCTTACTTTTGTAAGAAACACAACTGAAATTGTACAATTTATAATTTACTGTAGGCTGTGGCTGTCTAACATCACTAATGTCAATTGTATAGTATAGTAAAATTGTTTTATCTGTGATGTGTCCAGTATGTATAGAGTACATAAAAATATATATAAAAAAAGTGTTTTGCAATACTACTGTAACCAAAAAATATGTTGAATACTACTGGAATTTTTGTATATGTAATCTTATAATTATACTACATAGAAACTGATTTTGAAATTACTAAACAGTACGGGAATAAAACAAATAGCATATTTTTAAGATATATAGTCATCGATACTACAGTTTTATTTGCTCTAATTTTGTGAATATTTAAAATTAATCAGTAAAATAAACAAAAGTTTATCTAATAGTGAAATAAAAATATTTTACAAAATGGTATTATTGATTCAAGCAACCTTTAACTGTCAACATAACCTTTATTGTGATATAGAAACACATTAGAAAGAAATAATAGACATTATTTATTCTTGAAAATAAAACATTATATAAAAATACCATATAAAGATATGTTGGCCTCTAAAGAAATGTTGTGTTTTCCAAAATTTGTTAGGTTGAATTCCACAGCACCAGCTGTATTTATTAACAGAAATCCAAGGAATCTTGAACGAATGAGAATAGCCCGAAAACCAGACGGTTATCATTTGGACAAACCCGGTCGGAAGTTTTGGCACAAGTGAGTTATATATTCATGGTGGATGTAGAACTAATTATAATCGTAAAATTAACAAGGATACATATATTTTTACATAAACATTTTATTAGACCTTTTTTAGGTTTCCTATGAGTTACATATGTTTTACCCATTTCTTAACTTATTCAGTATCATTGATACTACATATTGATGTACATTTTTCAGATTAATATTGACACCCACTAATAGAACTGTTAAGGCAGAAGTTGTGCATTATATCAACGGACCTGTTATAGAAGCCAAGACATCTGAAAAAGCCCTGCGTAATCAGCTCTACAGTATGACAGACACATGTGCTTATATCAATTTGGGGAAGGTGTTTGCGCAGAGATGCCTTGAGTGTGGAATAACAGAAATGCATTGTGACATAGAACCGGGTAAAGGTGGAAAAGTTGAAAAATTTCTGGAACAAGTTGTGAAAGGTGGTATTCAGCTGAAGGAAGTGGATGTATACAAAAAACCGTTACCATGGGATCAACATAGACCAGAAAAACCATGGGAAGTCATTGAGGAATAATCATTGAATTTGTTTAGTTATTGTAATGTTAAAATTATAGTAAATCATTAGTTTATTTTTTTTTGTTTCATTTCATATATCACTTACTTTTAAAGATGTGTTTTTTTTTACATTTGTTGTTTATGTTCACTTTTTTTTTTCTCTCTTATGAGGGACTCAGTCAATCTATTGTCTATACAGGTAATGAAAAGTCGCCACTTTAATGTAAAATAGTTATTTCCATTCCACTTAGTTTTAAGTTTCACAGACTAATTGTGTTTTTTGTCATCTAAGATTTTTTATCGCAATACAAACATTTCAAAATTAATTTTTTAATTACGAATTCTTTTTGTTCTAATTTTGAACGCAACGTTTCAGTTTCCGATTAGTATTATATTATTGTGAATTATATATGGGAGAAATTACTTTTTTGTTAATAAAATGTACATATTTTATTTTAAATATAGTTTTTACACAAAATAATTTTCGTTTTAATATTCATGGCGTTAAACTATAGTGAATTTATGTTTAAAAGTAGCCAAACGACTATCGAGTGAAAATGGCGGAAAACATGATGGCGTCTTTTGCTTTTCAAACTAGTGGGTAACTAAAATGTCTATAGCTATCTCGTTCTGCCTCGTTAGAATTGTCGTAAGATATTTGGCACGCGTAATGATCAATATGTCCACGTGACCTCACATCAGTCCACCCCAGCTCCACTAGGTGGTCGCTTAATTGCAAATGCAAAATGTGGAATCGTTTGTGTTATATTAAAAACATTATATTTTGTGGTTAGGAGTATATTATGGTGTAAAATGCCAGCTTCAATTGGTGTTAATTTACGTGTTACGGGCCACTGTAGCCAAGGGGGTAGAAAGTACATGGAAGACTTGTTTTCCGTTGCGTATCAACAAACGGAAGACGAGAGGGATTTGGAATATGCTTTTTTTGGAATTTACGATGGACATGGTGGAGGTGAAGCAGCAGCTTTCGCAAAGGAGCATTTGATGGATTCTATTGTGAAGCAACGGCAATTTTGGTCTGATAATGATGAGGACGTTCTTAAAGCCATTCGAAATGGTTATATGTTGACCCACTTGAACATGTGGAAAGAAGTAGGTAAATGTCAATTCCAGAATATTTTTTGTTATTACTTTAAGCTAATTTGAATTTTCATGATCCTTCTAGTTATTTAAGGCATTGGCGAGTGATTGTACGGAGTTTTTGGTTTGACCTTGCGTCTCCTCATTTTTTCTTGAGTGCTTTGACATTGAGTCAACAAAAGAATAATATCTATTATCCAATATTATATTTTGCTTTTGTGCCTTCTATAGATAATGTATCTGAATAAATTCATATATTTTAATTTTACGCAAGTTTTGAAATCCTCCCACATCGTGCTAAAGTGAAAGCTGTTTTACAAGTTTGTTTTTTATATTGATCCATGTTGCCTCTTACCAAAAACTTTCAATATAAAGGTCAATTATAATAAGATATTATATTATGAGGTTTGAAAAATTTATTTGAATAAGTGGGTATAAATAGACTTTTTTTTAATATTTATATTTTAATATAATTTCTTGCTTTGCGTAGAAAAATGGCCAAAAACAGTAACAGGATTGCCAAGCACTGCAGGAACAACTGCAAGTGTTGCATTTATAAGACGAGGGAAGATTTACATCGGCCATGTCGGAGACTCTGCTATTGTACTCGGTTACCAAAAAGATGGTAAACAACTCAAATTAAATTATCAATTTGTTGCTTAAAGTGTGCTTAATAATGAAACTTGCTATGTCTATTCATGTTTGCTTGTGGTGTTATCATAATGACTTGTACTGTTGGTGTTGATTAGGACAATGTCTTTAGTGACTCATTAAGTACATATTTGTTTTTTTTTTACCAACAAATTACAGGAAGTGAAGAATGGGCTGCAAAGCCACTTACTTTAGACCATAAGCCAGAGTCCACAGCAGAAATAGAACGTATTCAAAAATGTGGTGGAAAAGTTGTATCAAAGGCAGGAGTCCCTCGAGTTGTGTGGAACAGGCCCCGTCTTTGTCACAAAGGACCAATTAAAAAGAATACTCCAATGGATGAAATACCATTTTTAGCTGTGGCAAGATCTCTTGGAGATTTGTGGAGTTATAATCCTCAGAATGATGAATTTATAGTTAGTCCGGACCCTGACGTAGGCGTTTTAACTATAGATCCTTCCAAGTTCAGGTAAATACACTTGTTAATTTTTTAATTTTAGTCTAAATTTACATCAATCACATATTTTTATTTCTTCATATGCTTATTTGTTAAGAAATTTTAATAATTCAGTGACATTATATGAAGAACAAATTTGATGGGTGATGAGGTTTGCTGTGAACTACCTAGTATGTGATTTAAAAGTATAATGATTTCTTACTTACTTATCTCATAATTTACATATATTTCAGCATTACCTCCATGTTTTCAGTGTTTTGCAATCAATTTGGGGTCAGTGCTGTATGTATTTATTTTACATATAGTTCTGACAGTTCTATCAGTTGAATTTACACATTAATTGATTACTTTTTCCACTTGCAAACTATCCATACTTGACATAGTCTTCTAACAATCCACAGGCATTTTATTAATTTGATTTTATATTATGTCTATCAACTATCAATTATTTTGCTTAACATGCTAATGCTACTGTTTAATGCTTTCATCACTGAACAAATTCCAGAAACATCTTATTTTCTTCACTATATATATTAGTATTTAATACTCTATCTACATTTTGGCATAATTTTGTTTCTATTTAAAGATATTAACAGATATAGGTAGTTATAGATCTAGATCCTAAAATAAAATGATATTTATTCAAAAATAATTTCAGGTGCCTTATTTTTGGTACTGACGGCCTGTGGAACATGATATCACCAGAAGGTGCAGTAAATTTAGTTCAAGCTACAGAGAGACACAATGAAGCAGCATTAGTAGGAGGAAATGCAAGTCAGCCAAGAGATTGGTTGAACCCTTCGAAAAGCTTAGTGGATCATGCTCTAGAGAGGTAAGTTAGTAAATTCTTACACATGATAAATTTTTAAGCAAACCCTTTCTGATATACTGTCTCTTCTTTTAATATCAAAGTAATGTAATTACTATATTAACATTAGAACTATTGCAGAGAGTCTTAGCCAGTCAGAGAAAAATAAATGTTCTTTTTAACTTTTAACACAAATATCTCTTATTTCATAAGGTAAACTATAAAAGTATGTTATAGGTATGGTATAAGGGAATCCTTCATATTGATGTTTTAAATTATTGCTCTTTGTTACAGATGGTCCAATACTAGAATGAGAGCTGACAACACGTCTGTAGTCACTTTAATGTTAGATCCACCTGGGCCTCCTCGTGCCACTGTATTACGGTCAAGGACGACGGCACAGAAACCTCAGGCTGCTGTACCATCAACAGTACCAATGTCCAACGTGGGAGTGTCCACATTGACCGCTAAAGTTGATGAACCTAAATCAGACGCAGCAGTAGATAATGACACGAGACAGGTTCCTCAGAACGGTCTCACTATAATGACAAGGTACTCCGATGTCGACAAGCCGGTGTCATCTGGAGAGGACACAGAGCGTGCACCTCTACCGCCCTGTGCCACCCTTGACGGTCGCTTTTCAGTAGGCCACAGAGAAGAGACAGTACGAGAGGAAAATAGTAGCGACAATGGTTCAGAAGTAATCAGCAACTACGGAAATCCTGCGGAATCATACTTTATGGCTCGTCTATTAAACCGAACCCGCGTAATCAACACACTGTCGGAGGTCTATGACGAAATCATCAACGGTCACAGACCCAAGGCGGCATCAGAATCGCGTCAATCCTCTCCGCCGTCTGGCACTGAGTTACCCGAAGACGGTAGTGGTGATGCAAGTGGCCGCGCTCCGCCTTCCGCGCCCTCCGCGTCACACGAACGTTCAGGAGCCAATGGAGCCGGAGAAGCGTCACGCGGGCCTGACGAGGTCGGAATACAGATCAACGAGGTCTCGTCCAGCTCACCCACTGACGGCCCGCCGAGAGCACGCGGCCGCCGATACCGCGGGGAAGTGCGCCGGGATGTGCCGCCCGCTACCAATGACCGGGTTCTTCGGTCTCATCATGAGATCGAGACACCACAACGTCCGCGCACGAGGCTCAACACGACTCGTGCTCGTCCGGTCGGTGATGCAGCGCCGTTAGACCGCATAGTTATTCTCAACAGACGTGGACACCCACCTTCAACGCCGGCTACTCGCGTGGCACAGGTCGCTCCTCGTCCACCACCGCGGCGCTCTGTCCTTGTTCCCGAACCTGAAATTGAGCACACGGACGGAGTCGCGGAGGAGGCTCGTCGCGCGACACGCTCCCAGGCGGCGGCCGCTACGCCGGCGCCGCGGGCCGCTCGTGAAGTCAAAAGCGGTGGAGTCGCGGGAAACTCGCCGCGCGCCCCGGGGCCGGTGCGGCGGGCCCCGGCGGCGCGGGGCCGCTCCAAGGAGAACCTCGGCGTCGCTCGCCGCCGCGCACGCGCCTGCGCCGCGCCCGTCTCGCCCTCGCCGCCCTCGCGCCCGCCGCCGCGCCCGCGCCGCGCCGATAGTGCGCTCGAGGAACCAGAGGTTCACTCAACAACTGGCGAGGCGGGGCCAGCTGCCGGCCCGGAGCGCGCCCTCAGGTCGCGCAATGAGCCGGCGGCGCTGTGCTCGCGGGCTTCGTGCAAGAGACGTGCCGGTGAGGAGTTGACGAATGGCGGCAAGGTCGCTCGCGTGTCACTCGGCAAACGGGCCTCCGGCCCTTGGGTGCCGGCGCCGGCCCTCGCGCTGCGCAACCGCCTCCGACGAAGACTCGTCAAGTAGGTTTCACGACGATGGTTTTTTTATGGTTACCTGTGAGTATGCTGGGTTACAACGGTGCCTTCTAGTACTGCCAAAGTACATTGACTAAATATTGGGAGTCGTATCGCGACTTCTCCTGCGCCCTCCTTGAGGGATCCAAAGATGACTGCATCGTATACGATTAGATTGCTGTTATTATTTTTTATTATACCACTAGATATGTTTCAGTTTTAGTTGAGCGTAAATGATTATAGCTTTTTTCATTTTCCTTTTTTGAATTCGTTTTCGCTATTCAGTATATCTGTACTGTTTCCCATTCGGTACATTTAAAGTTATTATTAAGTCATGGTACACAGTAACCAATAGTACAAAGAAATAAATTGCGTAGTTAACTATAAAACTAAAACGTGGACCAGGCAGATTTATTTAGCCTTTAATAAGTAACTATTTATTTTGTCTATATTTATAGCATCTATCATGTTGCATTTAATTTTAGACAAATATGAAAATTTGATTTTCATTCAGATCATGTCAAAGCAGAGGCTACAAAAAACATGATATTGTAGTTCACATAATTAACATTCTATTAAAAATATTTCTAGCCAAATGTTTAATTTACATATATACATAGATCACAGATATACCAAGAGTGCTTTTCTAAAAGAATGTTAAGTAACTATAAGATTAGAAAATATATTGATATATGCTGAATATTTTTTGTACACTCATCATCAAATTAGTTGTGTAAATTAATTATAAAAAATATATTTTGTATGAATGGTAAAGTAAGTAAGTTACAGAAGTTATTCTTTTAAGAAAGGAATTATTTATGAATTTCCTAAACAAGTTTTATATTATAATTGGTAGTTCCAATCTGGCATCTTGTCAATCAAGAGAATGAATTATGTTTTCTGTTTTCCAGTATAAACATGAAATAAATCTTGTTGCATTAGTTTTACAAACTCTTGGTGCTTGTAATATCTTTGTACTAAATACAAAATATTAAAAATAAAAATCGTGTCATACCAACTATTCTATTCTATATTTTATTTAATATGTTGTGATCACGGAACCATTGATTATATTAAAGACCAAAAAGGTTTTTATCTACTGGAATTTTGTTGAGTAATTAATTTTATAATAAAACTGTTATTAAAAATGATATATCATTATATTTTAAGTAAGGTGAGAAAGATCTAACTGTTTTAAAAGTCCAAGGTTGTACATATGTATGTATACATATAGGGAGAGTAAATATTATGTAATATAACGTGCCTGTTTGTTACCCACTAAACAACAAAAATATAGGTAAATAAAGTATTCTTTGATAATATGAGATATTATGTATTTTTTATTAAAAACAAATTTTATGAAGATGTGTAACTAGGTGTAAAAGATGATATAATATAATTTGTTAAGATTTATGTGTTAAGGTTTTTAGTAAAATTCACATTTATTATATAAGGAGAAGTATGGGAGTCCTAAAAAGATGAATTAACAACAGCTACATGTTACTTATAAAATGTATTAAAATTTATAAGTCCTTTATTTTAATTTAGATTGTTTGTAACGGATCTAAATTAATAATATTTGTTAGCATATCGTATTTCATTAATTTACATTATATTATATAACTGTGAAGGACTTAGAGAAATATGAATTTTGACAAACATCTTTGATGTAGCAGATTCCCATACGTTTTAGTTAAAAGACCCAGTTTGTTTTGTTCCGTAAAGAAAGAGGTGTATTAAGTTAATAATTTACAAGAGTGCGCTAACAGTTGTTTTTATTGGGGTAAAGTAAAAAGCTGGTTCCTCATGAAAACTGCTTATTTGGATGTGGGTAAAACTGAAAACAAATGTATAACTATACAGGTATGCATGAATACCTATTGAAGTAAACATTATTGTAGGCTTTATTTTTTGAATTAAATAAAGTTTGTATGAAATAAAATGTTTTTTTATTCTCTCTGTTACTGTCATTTGCGTCGCCTGAATGCGGAAGCTGCGGTTCGATATGCTCCCCCAGTGCGAACATGAATGAGAACAACCCGCCCGGCTGTTATACACATCTGTCTCACGCAGGCGGCTCCAAAGCACCCTACTATTTCAACTTGTTAGGTTATAGTTTGGGCGCGCGCTCTAGCGTCCTGTCGTTTCCCACCCGGCCGGTCGTCAGTTACGCCACGAGTCGAACGTAGTAAATGTGTCCGTTTCGCACTATATAATTTGATTAGCGTTGTTTCGTATAAAGTGGTAATTGTAATTTATTGTTTACAAACGGAGGTGATATATTTATCGAGTAATTGGTTTTCGATTGGTGTTTGTTATTTTGAAATTGACAATAAAAAACGCGGGAAACCTATGGTTTTTTTTTAGCCGTGTAAGTTTATCGATCGGACCGCGCTACTGCATTGCACCGGTGCAGGATGATAATGATCGTGTATTGTTTACATCGTCGAAACTATATTTGATATAACGTTGTGTTGTTAATGACGAGAAACTATTGAATTACGTTATTTAGATATTTATTTTGTCTCTACGTAATGAGGGTTACGAGAATTAATATATTTGTAAAAATTTCGTGTATCGAGGGTCCTTGAAAAGAATCCGGATCATAAGACTATTTTATTTATGATAGTAATGACGAGCACGCATTCTCTACTATCCAACTGGCTCTACCAGTTTTTTATTTGTTATCGGCACCTATTTTCGCGATTGCCAGTTTTATTATTCATGGAATATTATTTAAATTTTTGAGATCTTTATGATAACTTTACGCGACATACCTAAATGATATTCATCTAAAGTTTTTTTTTTTTGTAAAAATTCATCATTTCAATCCTGAATAGTTTAGACGAACGGCTAGGAAAAATTGAAAGAGGTCTAATTTGCACAAAATTCGAAATGTAATGAAATCCCTGAATTTAACAATTACAATAATATATGTAATACATATGCAAGACCTACAAAGTCAGTTCTGACGTAAATGAAACCCTATAAGATCTATTGTTGGTAGACAAAAGATTTACATTATAATAGAAGCTAATAATAACACGTTTATTATAGATTGTATAATAATCTCATTTATTGCTTTTCAACTAGAGAATTTTATTTCACATAAATCGTTTATATCATATCGTTTACACTGATACCAATTTACGAAGAATTATTTGTGTTGTTAATTTGTACTTATATTATTAAACGACAAAAAAATTTCAGTGAATTCGTTTAGAATAGTAACGGTGGATTTGATCATCACTCACGTAAGTTATATTTATTATCCGTCACTGAATTTATTTTTTATCCATTAGACACTTTAAATAGATACAAAATATAAGTGATTTTACTCCTTGTGAATTTTTCTTTGTTATTAGGCGACGTATATATGTATCATTATCACAATACCAAAAAAAGCTTAGTATTTTGCCTTATGGCAAAGAAGAATAATATCCGTTAAAATATCGTAGACCCATTGCTTTAACCCTCTTTAAAACTAGATAAATGTGTTCAACTATACAACAACCCATCGTAGTTTTTTTTGCAATCGACAAGATTTATTGTATAATATGTCTCAAATAAATTCTATTAACGTCGGATATATAACTTAGAAATCAAGGACGAACTTCTCCCCCAATGGATAAATGGATGACTTACTACTTTGTATTAACGTAATACGATAAAATCACGAATAGATTACAATTATGTACTAATGAAATAGGAGATTTCTAGTGTACTACTATGGTATTAAATACTTAATGCAAGAATGTATGCAAGGTATTTCATTGACTTAGTTTTATTTTTCAACATTAGAGGTTGATCTATAGCAAAATTTTACTTCTTAGTAGGTATATTTTTAGAATTTATAAAATAGGATTTATTAAAAAATAATTATTAATTTAAACGTAAAATTTAATAAAAAGTTTTTTTAACTATGATTTTTGAAATGTACAAGGTTAATTAGAAACAACATACAAAATATTTCAATTTTTAATCAAAGCGCCATCTAGTCAACAAGTTGTGCATTATAATTTTAATCAACCTAATACATAAAAATTAATTTTATTTACTGGCTCGTATATACAAAATTTATCGAATATAAAATTATAGAAATACTTCGCACTATTATAAAATTATTGTACAGGTAATCGACATAAGAAAAAACAAATATTTAAACTATATAACCGCACATACTTATTTTATTTATAATAATTATTGAAAGTAAAATCTGTGTTATATAAAAGTGAAATATTCAAAATTACAAAAAGGAAGATTTAACGTAGCGTGGGAAAGAAGCGATGGAGGTTTTCATAATCATGGGTAAGTTATCGTCTTTATAAATTATATTATATGTATATCTCATTTTGAATGTATCGCTGTAGTATTTAACGCGTACTTTCACGGACCGTTAGTATCTAGCGCCTAGTATGTTACTAATATGACGGTGCAAACTATTATTACCAATACCAGTATGTACATTTAAACGCACAGAAAACAGTTAATTGCACCAATTTACTCGACTTATTTACATTCTGCGATATGCAGAGCGATGAGATGCAATATTACATTAAATTTATAATTATATATTATTTAATTTTATATCATTAATGATTGCTTTATCTACTAAAATGTCATATATATATGATATAACGTTTAAATAATTTATTTATCAATAACATTAAAACCGGAATGCCCCGTCTGACCTGAATGCATCGCCGACGCATACGCCTAGTACTTACTCCATCTAGCACCTTTATATACATTTGTATTTCAAACTGTTTACATATTAGAATACATGAGTTCGTCAAACGAGGTGTACGTATGATTTAAATGTTTTAAAATATTATATATACGGCGTTTAGTTCCGGATACGTTAGTTTGTGATGATATCGAAATAAATTATTACCTTAAGAAGGAACTTGTTTAGGCTTTTTGATTATAATTATTAGCTTTTATATCATCACTGCTGATGTTATAATATATACCGTATAAGGAAAGCTAGACGTCCATCAAATATATTTT